AAAAAATAACCCTAAACTATTGGGGTATGTGCAAGAAACCCGCCTGAACTATAAAAGTTACAAAAAACCCCTGAACTATTGGGGTATATGCAAGAAACCCCCCTGAACTATAAAAGTTGAAAAAACCCCCCTAAACTATTGTGGTATGTGCAAGAAACCCCGCTGAATTATATATATATTTTTTTGCAGTTTACCCCATCCGTGCGAATTAATTGACTGAAAGGGACGATGAAGCCGAGGAATTTGTTGCTGGGATCGGTGGGTCTCCTGTCATAGCTCCATCATAGCCGTTGCACCACCTGCTAGATCCGTCGGCCATATATATCGCACTTCTCTGCACCGTTGCGTCAGCCCATCGCCGTCACCCCCTTGCCCGCCATTCAGCTTACCTTGCTCGCCGGTCCATTCCACCGTCCATTCCAAGCTCGCCGGTCCATTCCGCCATCTCCATAACCGAGCACACCGCCGTCCGTATTTCCAGCACACAGCCGTCCACAATTCACGGCCAAGCCCCCTTGAGCTTGCTGCCACCTCCACAGTTTACGACCGAGTCAACCGAGCTCTTATCATAACTGAGTCCTCCGCTCACAAGCCGCCATCATCCAAGACCGAGCCATCCTGCCGACCTCGGATTTCTTTGGTCTCTTCTCTCTTTCTCTCTACCTCTCTGTTTTGGGTTATGTTGGGTGAAAAATATCTTTTGGTAGAAAAAAAAAAAATTGTAAGAAGTGTATAAGTTAAAACGACGCAGTGTGTTATAAGGGTAAACTGGTCTTTCAAATTTTTTGGTGCCAGAAGCTGATGTCATGGGGTAAATTGCAACAAAATCATAGTTCATGGGGGTTTTTTGTAGTTCAGGGGGGTTTCTTGCAAATGACCAATAGTTCAAGGGGGTAAATTGCAACAAAATCATAGTTTAGGGGTTTTTTTTTTTGTAATTCAGGGAGATTTCTTGCAAATGACCAATAGTTCAAAGGGGTAAATTGCAACAAAATCATAGTTCGGGGTGGTTTTTTGTAGTTCAGGGGGGTTTCTTGCAAATGACTAATAGTTCAAGGGGGTTTAATGCACTTTACCCTTTTAATTACTTGATATTTATGTTTTTACGATTTTATGTGATTTTTAATTACATACACGAACATTATTATTATTATTATATAAGGTTGTATTATTATAGTTATTATTAAAGAATGATGTATAATGTTCCACTTTTTTAGAAAGAGAAAAAAAATATAGAGAGAGAAAAAAAAACTTAGAAATAAGCCTAAGGTGTTTAAAAATCCTGATAGTGGTAGGAAAAGGACTTAACATTCTTTGTCTCTGGATAATGTTGTTACTATATTGTAAAAAATATAAAAGTAGTCCGCTCACATGGATGAATCATTGATGACTTTAAAGCATGTTATTTTTTTTTATTTTTTATTTTTATTTTTTTTATTATTATTATTATTTTTTTGGGCAAAGTACACTAACACCCCCTCAGGTTTGACATAAGGACAAGTAAATACAAGTTGCTCTGTTTTAGGACACTCACACCCCCTAGTCAAAATTTTAATCCAAACAGCCCCTTAAATTTTTTAAAAAGTCAAGAATGCCCTTTAATATTTTATTAATTTAAATTATAAAATATCAAAACTTTTAAAAGACTCTTATACCCTTATACACAAATTACATCTGTATATATATATATATATATATATATATATGCGTGTGTGTATATGTAGTACACTCAGCGGCCAAAGCCACCACCGATCAACACCGTCGCGTCCCACTTCTATCAGTGCTCCGTCTGGTGACCCTTGCTGCCACCGCTTTCTGTGAATCCAATGCAGACGGTGACCCCTTTGTTTCTCTAACCTCTCATCAGCGGTGCACTAGTTTTTGTATTTGCCGACATCATTTGTGGTCCATTATGCCGGAGAAGATGGTGGAAGTGGCTCGCCGGAGGAAACAGAGAAGATAAAGATGCACCTCAATCCGACCCAATCAATCTAAGACTTACAACATTAAAATTACTGAATCCATTCATCAATCAGACCACCCAAACAACCCCCACCATCTCCCGCCGCCCATTGCACCACCACCGACACCTCGCCATAACCCACCATCATGACACCTCGATGAGACCCACCCACCCAACCCCCACCACTACTGTCTCTATCTTTCTACCAGCAAATCCACAACATAAAATACAACACGAATCTATGTAATCAAAATCAATCTCTTCTCCAATCGGATTGAATCTCCATCTTCGTCTCCAACACAGTAGAACGCAGTGAAATTGTTGACCCATTTTCATCTCCAATTGAAACCCTAAACGATACGCTCTACATCTCAAATCAAAACCCCAATTTTCTCGCCGGAATTCTCTCTTGCCTTCGTCATCGCCGCCTCAATCTTCTCCTCGGACTTAACTTCATCACCGACGGCATTGGAGGGGTCGGAAGGCCGACGAGGGTTTAAATAGAGGGTTTTGGAGGGGGTTTGCGTAGATAGTGGGATTATCTTTCTTATGCTCCTCTGGCGGCAGCACGAATTTCTCACAATCAACCCCTCCAACGCCGGTCCATTTCCGACAGTTCTATCTACCTTGTTCATCACCGTGATGAATTGATGATGCCGATGATGATGTGGTGGTTGAGGGATGATGATGATGCGGCGGCGGTATATGCAGTGGGGTTGATTTGTGGTGGTTATATATATATATATATATATATATATATATAACACCACACAGAGAGAGATGGAGGAGAAGCTTTAGGGTCTGAGAAGGGAAAGAGAAAAAGAGGGTAAGGATAGAGAAAATTTGGGTTTATCCGATGGGTTGTACCCGATAACCCATTTGAACTTATTCTATTTAAGTCAATTGTATTTGTTAATTTTATATCAAAGGGTAATAAAGTCAATTCATCATTGCTGGGGTGTCTTTGTCCATTTTATCAAATTTGAGGGGTGTGATTGTCCAAAAACAGAGCAACTTGCATCTACCTGTCCTTATGTCAAACCTCAGGGGGTGTCAGTGTACTTTACCCTATTTTTTTAGATTCCGGCCACTTGTCGGTTGTCCTTGAAGAAGATGAACCCTTGTGATCCGTGAATGAAGAGCGGACGGTGAAGAAAACACTAATGAAAAAGTAAAGAGAGTGAATATTAATGGAAGAGTAAAGAGTAATGTTGGCAGTCGGTAGGTGCCCAAAAAACGAGGCAAATAGTAGAAAAAACGTTTCCACCACTACATTAAAAAAAGCACAAGAAATATATATATATATTTTTATGTTTTCTCTTTCTTTTACAAAAATGAAAAATGTTTCGTTTGGTTAAATATAAATAAATAAAAAAATAAAAAAATAAAAAATAAAATAAAACTGAAGTGAATGAAAAGAAAAATTATTATTTAACAAGCATTTAGTTAGCTTGAAAATTTATTAAGAAAAATTATACAAAAATATTAGTTTGTTAGTTTGGATAGCATTAAAATGAAAAGAAAGTGATTGTGCATACCAAAATTATTTTTCAAATACTTAAAAAAATAAATGATGTTGTGTTTGAAAATGTCTATTTTTAGCAAAGTTTTAATAAAATGATGAATTATTAATATTCATTTATATTGTTTAAATTAAAACTTCTTACTTAGAAGTAGAACTAACTGGAGTGAAAAAATAAAATAAAAATTTGGGGTCATGGATTAATGGACTTTCAACCAGAGAAAAAAACCAATTTCTTTCTTTTTTAATTATTTTTTTTCTATTGAGTTTCAAAAAGTCAAGTTTTCTGAAGATTTATATTTTAGTGGACTTCTAAAAGGCAAGTTGGATAAAATAGGAACGTGAAATAAAAAGAAGCAACTTTTACGAGAAATTTATGCTTGCGATTCTTTTTCGTGTTTTGTGTGAGAAAAGTTTTGGTACCATTCTTTTTCCATTTATCCAAACTCTAAAAAAACTTTTTCCATTTATCCAAATTTTAAAAGAACTTTTAAATTTTTTCTTTCCTTTTTTTTATTTTATTTTCTCTTTTCTTTCTTTTTTAGTTGATTCCATTTAACCAAACAAAGCTTAAGGTCCGTTTGGTTAAACGAAAATCTATGATGGAAAGTGAAAGGGAAAGAAAGTGAAGTAAAAGAAAAAAAAAAAATCAAGTTTCTAGCACACATTTGGTTAGGAATAAAATTATACAAGAAATGTGTGAGAAAATATTATTTTATTAGTTTGGAAAGCATGAAATAGAAAATAAAATGATTGTACTTACCAAAATTACCCTTGTAATTTTAAATAATAAAAATAAAATAAATTTGTGTTACTCCCCTTTCCTAATTATTTATATTCAATTTTAAAACCAAAATAAATAAATAATGATAAAATATTAAATTATTAAGAATTTTAATGTAATTATTTATATTAATTTTTAAATTATTTATATGTGAGAAAAGTTTTAACAGTTAATTTTAGAGGCTTACTTCAAAAATACATAGTAACACAAAGTTATTGTCATATGCAAATATATTAGAAATTTTTAAAAAGTTAATCACATATACAAATCACCAATTAATAAAAGGTATGATAGAATGTTAAAATATAGAGTCACAAAACTTTCTTCAAAATTTTCACTTTCCTTCCCACGTAACTCTTAAAAATTTTCCTTTTATTTTTCATTCCTACTACTTTCATCTAACCAAACACACCCTAAGAGAAAACAAAAACATTACTAAACATGTTTTTTACGTTAATTTTTTTATTATTTTAAAACGGACCCTACTTCGCCTAATTTACTTATTATTTTAACAAAAATATTCATTGTACATTACCATTTTACCCTTTTGAATTAGTTTTATCCCACCCCTCCCGCTGCTTCCTTCCATCATTTATTTTATGAATGTGTATACGACATACAGATATTAGCATTACTCATCTTCTTCCTACTTCATGTCAGCCATAACTCTCCCAGATGAAACCCAAGCATTCTATGCATTTTTACCATCAATACCCAAAAAAAAAAAAAAAAAAGAAAAAAAAAAGAAGCTTATAAAGTATGGTAATATACATTGAAATCTGAATATATAATATTGTATAAGGTTACAGTTTGCCAAGACAGTTCCAGTTCCATGATACTGAATTGGTTCCAATCTTCTCGTCTCAAAATCATAGCTAAACGCCATGCTTACCCTCTGAAGATACACAAGTTTTGCATTGCAAGGATGAAATTCTATCAAGCGAATGCAAGGAGGAGAATTACCGATGCCCAACTTCTTGCGACTCACTTCTTCCTTCAACACCCATTCAGTACTTGGTATGATGCGTGATAAACTATAACTAGAAAGCTTCTTTTTGATCTCCCACGCTTTGATCATCAGTTTTTCAATTATGGCAAACCGAAGAAGACAACCATCTGCTGCCGACTAGTGTCCCAAGATATATTCTATATAGAATCCATTTCTCTTTTTCCAACAGGGACGAGGCAACTCTATCAGCCAGAGACGATTTTCCCCCGTGTTGGGATCATAAGCAACCAAATGACCACCACTAACTTTCCAGTACAAGATCCCACCTACTGCTTGACAAAGGTAGGACTCGTCGTCATCTGAAAATTCAGATGGAGAAGTGAGACATGATTCACTCCATTCGCCTGTACGAGAAGAGAAAGCTTCTATATGTAATCTGTCATATGTGGCTCCCGCTCTCCTTTTCATGATAGCTAAGAGTTAGTTTGAAATGCACTACACCATCACCATCTTTGCTGCTACATTCCTCACAAGAGAGAGCCTCAGAGGATGGAGCATGTCTTGGTTCAGGAAGAGCAAACCACTGATTTGTGACTGGATTACAAACGCAGTATTTGAAAACTTTGAAGTTTTCTAAACGGCACATAGTATTAGGCCTTCAGGAGAAACATAAGTAAGCAAATAGTTTTCAAACAAATCCAAACTTGTAAATTTCCTTTCCTTACAATTTTGTAGGAATGAAACTTCAAGTGTTGGCCGACGATCAATATGAGCAAGAGTAATCCGAAAGAGTCCCAACAATGGGGGAAGATAATTCTTATTTTGAGAAAGGTAATTGCTGCAGAAAATAGGATGAGATATAAAACTGTTTCATGTTTTCCATACACACTTGAGCTTGCAGACTGTGAGGCAATCGAAGCAAAATCTCATTTATGAAAGGGGAGAGATGCAAAAGGGAGATCCTGGAAATTAAACCTGCTGTGGCACGTCTTCATTATCCTGGAAATTAAGGAGAGAGATGCAAAAAGGAGATCAATAAAAAATTTATGAAATAGAAATCAAATCAAACACACAAAAAGAAAGATAATGTGACAGACATCAAAATTCTGAATAAAAATGTAACGACCTACTCCACCACATGGTATGATATTGTTCGCTTTGGGCCTGAGCCCTCACGGTTTTGCTCTTGGGTTTCACCCCAAAAGGCCTCATACCAATTGGAGGTGACACACTTACATATAAGTACTTCACCTTTCCTCTACCCAGGCGATGTGGGACTGTGCACCCGTAGCTCGCCAGTGTGGTAGCCTGACAGTGTCTCTCGCACCCGCCCACGGCACACCCGCCCACAGGGTCATCACAATCCACCCCCCTTGGAGGCCCAGCCGGAAGTGTGCCGACGGGGACGTCGGGCCTCCAAGGGGGGTGGATTGTGATGACCCTGTGGGCGGGTGTGCCGTGGGCGGGTGCGAGAGACACTGTCAGGCTACCACACTGGCGAGCTACGGGTGCACAGTCCCACATCGCCTGGGTAGAGGAAAGGTGAAGTACTTATATGTAAGTGTGTCATCTCCAATTGGTATGAGGCCTTTTGGGGTGAAGCCCAAGAGCAAAACCGTGCGGGCTCAGGCCCAAAGCGGACAATATCATACCATGTGGTGGAGTGGGTCGTTACAATTGGTATCAGAGCCTGACCCAGCCGGAAGTGTGCCGACGGGGACGTCGGGCCTCCAAGGGGGGTGGATTGTGATGACCCTGTGGGCGGGTGTGCCGTGGGCGGGTGCGAGAGACACTGTCAGGCTACCACACTGGCGAGTTACGGGTGCACAGTCCCACATCGCCTGGGTAGAGGAAAGGTGAAGTACTTATATGTAAGTGTGTCACCTCCAATTGGTATGAGGCCTTTTGGGGTGAAGCCCAAGAGCAACACCGTGCGGGCTCAGGCCCAAAGCGGACAATATCATACCATGTGGTGGAGTGGGTCGTTACAAATGGTATCAGAGCCTGACCCAGCCGGAAGTGTGCCGACGGGGACGTCGGGCCTCCAAGGGGGGTGGATTGTGATGACCCTGTGGGCGGGTGTGCCGTGGGCGGGTGCGAGAGACACTGTCAGGCTACCACACTGGCGAGCTACGGGTGCACAGTCCCACATCGCCTGGGTAGAGGAAAGGTGAAGTACTTATATGTAAGTGTGTCACCTCCAATTGGTATGAGGCCTTTTGGGGTGAAGTCCAAGAGCAAAACCGTGAGGGCTCAGGCCCAAAGCGGACAATATCATACCATGTGGTGGAGTAGGTCGTTACAAAAAAACAAAAGAAAGTAATTGTAAAAAATAGAAAAACTAAAAAAGTTTTACTAAAACAAAAACACAACACAACTCTTTTCTCGCAGTGAAAAACTAAAAAAGAAAAAGATTCTACAATTAACTATCAGAAAATTCATGAATCGTTTAGTCAAATTCGATCTATGAATTGGACAAATTATTCACTGACAGAAAAAAAAATGAAAGATCTAACTGATAGAACAAGCACAATAAGAAATCAAATAGAAAGAATTACAAAAGAGAAAAAGAAAAAAGAAAAAAGAAAACCTCAAAAAGAACACATTTTTACCCATTAATTGTATACCTAATCGGCAGGATTCATCAGCAAAAGGAGATTAATAAATGAAGAAGAAGAAACTAAAATCAAAGATAATGTGACTGACATAAAAATTAGGAATTAAAAAAAAATGAAATAATTGTAACAAATATAAAAACTAAAAAAGTTTCATTATTAACTAAACTGAAAATTCTGAACTTTCACCAAAATAAAAAACCAACTACTCTAATTTGCAAAAGCATCAGTTCAACCCCAACACAAAAAAAGAAGAAGACATTTTTACCCATAAATTGCATACACACAAGAAAGATAAAGTGACTTCCTGAATAAACATAAAAATTAAAAACAAAGTAGCTACAACAAATTGAAAAACTAAAAAAGTTAATCAAGTTTCTGAGCTTTTACCAAAATCAAAACACAGCATAACTCTATTTTTAATTATTTATATTTAATTTTAACTTCGAGAAGAAGGAAAAAAGAAAACAATTTTACCTATAAATTGCATACCCAATCAGCACGATTCATCAATAAATGGAATTTAAAGCACAAAACCCAGAACAAAATTATCCAAATTTAAAATGTACAAAACATCAAACAATCAAATCAGATTAAAATTGGATCCCAAACAGATCGAAATTAAGATTCATTACCTGAAATTGAAGAAGCCAATCAGGGAGAACTGTGGGTTGGTTTCTTCGAATGAACTACACTTCCCACTGGATTGATTTGGGCTGGGAGCTTTCCAAGGCAAAAACTCCTTGGATTGAAATGCCATTCTAAAAGGAATTTTGTCAAAATGAATTCAGAATTCAAAAGACGTAATCTCTTTAATCGACCCATCACTATTCTATTAGAATATAGGTCTTGCATGCCCCTGCAAGCCTGAAGCAGAATCAAATATATAAAAAAAAGGTCAACATACCAACACATATGCATACATTGATTATCGCAAAGTTCCTCACTTAATTGAGTAACACAAATGTATGATGCCTCGATTTTGCATACTTCTTTGACATGGACTTCTTTGTCGGCTTCAATATATATATAGTTTTTCATATTATCAAATGGCTATGGCAGACCTGGTACCGATTTTGATATTGTGTTAATATACTTTCTCATTAGAGAAATTGCAATTTGTGCTTTAAATTCAACCCAAAACAAAATTATCCAAATTTAAAACATACAAAACATCAAACAATCAAATCAGATTGAAATTGGATCCCAAACAGATTGACATTAAGATTCATTACCTGAAATTGAAGAAGCCAATCAGAGAGAACTGTGGGTTGGCTTCTTCGAATGAACTACACTTCCCACTGGATTGATTTGGGTTGTGTTTGGGGGAGCTTTCCAAGGCAAAAACTCCTTGGATTGAAATGCCACTCTAAAAGGAATTTTGTCAAAATGAATTCAGAATTCAAAAGATGTAATCTCTTTAATCGGAACCATCACTATTCTATTAGAATATAGGTCTTGCATGCCCCTGCAAGCCTGAAGAAGAATCAAATATAGAAAAAAAAAAAGGTCAACATACCAACACATATGCATACATTGATTATCGCACAGTTCTTCACTTAACTGAGTAACACAAATGTATGATGCCTCGATTTTGCATACCTCTTTAAGGTGGACTTCTTTGTCGGCTTCAATATATATATAGTTTTTCAGATTATCAATTGCTATGGCAGACCTGATATGCAATTCTGATCTTGGGTTACTATACTTTCTCATTAGAGAAATTGCTACCAGCCTCTCGTGACCAATCTAGCACAAAAGAACAACTTAATAAATACATAACAATTACATCAAGTAGGCACTATATATTATGAAATCATATAGTCATAATACATTGCACTTCACTAGCCACAACTACGGATCATTAACGGTTTGCTGCTGTAATTCAGTTGTTTTCTCATTACATTCTGCGTGACTTGAACTAGGAGCTTCAACAACTCTAGGCAGCAAAGTGTGACGCGGCATCCTTCTACAATCACCTTCTTCTAGAGGTTTAGATCCACCATCCGCTATGAAGTCGGCATGTGGCAATCAACCCATCAGCAATGATAATGACATGTGGAGTAGTGGTGATTGAACCATGAACATTTGTTTATTTCTTTTGAAATACACTCAGATGAAATTTTTTTAAGAGAAAATTCTGCTAGCTGAAAAAGAAATGGGGTGATTTTTTTTTTTTTTTTTGATAAGGAGGGTTGTTACAACCAAGGTAACATCTTTTAGCCCCTTCAAAAGTGGTATTAACACATTTTCACCAAAGTATCCAAGAGAAGATGAAACATACACCCAGAAACATTCCTTAATACAACTTAGCATTGAAACTCAATATAGCACAAATGGAAGATTGCAATCATCAGGACATTAACCATGATCCCCAACTGTTGTAGGTTGTAGCCAACCATTTTTTAGAAAACTACTAAGAAATCAACAGTGTATTAATAAACTCTTAACCTAATTTCAAAAGGTAAAAGGTTAAAAATGTGTAAAAATTTAAAATTCTTTTCGCAAATAATAAATAAAATAATAGTAAAACTATATGTGTGACACATGATTTATAAGTGTGTGTATTTTTCATATGTGAAATCCTATCCTATTGAAAAAAATTACATATAAATCCAATATGAGATTAATATTCATAACTTTGACCATTTGACACTTGTCTTGATAAAAAATATATAATTCAACTTATCAAAAACAAATATATATATATATATATATATATATATATATATATATATATAATGTGTTAAGTTAATATTGACTTCGCTTAATATTTCGAATTGAATTAGACTTGAATTTTTTCAAAATTGCTTTAATGCTAACTCATTGTCTCATTATGCAATGTAATGAAGAAGTTAATAAAGTCCACTGAATTTTGTAATGATAAACATGTTTATTTCTTCATCCAATTTGAAGACAAGAAAAAATTACTAAAAATGAGTCCTAATTCTTGTTAGCCATTTTATAACTTGGATCCTATTTTTTATTATTTACTTTGTTCTTGATGCATTTTAGGTCTTAGAGACTTTATTCTTGAACACAGAGGCTGGTCATTGGAAGGTTAAAACTATATGACTATAAACCGGAAATGTATATTGAGAAACACAGATTTCTTCTGGATCGTGTGAGGTTATCGATTTCATGCGTGACACTTGTCGATTCATTGTTTTTAACATTTTCATTAGCTATTGAAAATGAAAAAAGCATACACAAACACACACACACACACAAAATAACAACAGTAACAACATAGTTTTGACAGAGTTCATATATCTTCTGTGGGTAACAAGAGGAAGTTTAATAATTTAAGTATTACTTATCATCCCAATAATTTTGCGCCATTGGCATCCGAACATCTTTCCAATAATTTTGTGTATTACTAATACAAGGAAATGAATGAACCTATGTAAATAATATGTGCATATTTTTTTTTTTTTTTTTTTCGAAAGTGAATGACATGCGCATAATTAATAATTACTATATCATCAAAATTTCAAAATACTCTTTAATTTGAAATTTAATGATATCTCATATATTTTTCATTCTATGTAACGAATATATCAAGGTGTCAAGCTGAGTGTTTTTGGCTTATACCCAAAACAATAATAATAATAAAATGAATCAATTAGTAGTAAAATCAACATATAGTTTATATGTGTGTGTGTGTATATATATATATGTATCTAAATTGAAATTTTTAAGCAAATAATTAACAATTAGAAAGAAAAAAAATTTGATAAGTAATTAACAATTAGAATATGATTTAAGAAAACGTGAAAAGGAATACAAAAAATATTAAACCATTCTAGTTTCCAAACTATGACTATTTTTTAATTGGAGTGGTCATAGTGTAAACTACTTGGGCTCCATGGAAAATATTTCGACTTCCAAGTTGAAGTCTTTCATTACCCGTATTCCTCCCTAATGTACTATGCCACTTATCTAAAGATCATTCAAATCCTTCTGACACTATTCTAACCTTGACTGAGCTGGTGTCAAACAGTATAATATGATAGTGGCTTTACTTATTTACGTCAAGAACAGTCTAACTGGTTTGAGATTTTTTATTGGATTAATCATCATTGCCAACCTAAACTCGTCTACTCCCCAATCAGGTATGATTGCAAGGCCTGCTTTTTTAAGTCCTCATCTTCACATATTCAAGTTTGAGGTTGCCCGTTGCCTATCCAAATGGGCGATTAGTAGATAGACTTAAGGGTCGTCGACCTCTTGCCTATTCTATGCCGCTTAGCTGGTAGTCTTTATATTTTGGATTTTCTTGTTCTAATCCATGCGCATAGCCGGAGTTTCCAACAGGAAGAGCAGGTATTTAGCTCGCCAAAGAAGTTTACCCCAAAAGAAGCTTGGAAGACTAGCAGATAACAAAAGAGGTCTTGCACATACTTGCTTACGTATTACCGGACTATGGAAGACATTCTTTTCTATTCTATATCTATTCTTTTTATTTCAAACAATATATTTGCAACTATAGCTTGGTTGCCAGATTCAGCCTTCGTATTAGTCCAGGAATGGCAACAAAGGCCGGCGGGATGCGCGAAGAGCTAAGCCACTAATGTCGTGGCGATGGCTGGAATAAGGTAAGGTAGAGCTAATCTCAGGGTAGAGGTGAGCTTCTTGTTGTTCAAGTCAGAAAGGTTCTAACAATGGCTCCATGAACTCTATGCTACCGACGCTTCGCACTAACGAGCAAGAAAAGGCCCTAAACCCATTAATCCAAGGACACAAGTCGAATCAAAAGAAGGGTGCTCTTCCAATATTGAGCTCCTAGCTGTCCCGCTTTATGTGTGTACTTTAGGTCTTTGGACACCACGACATGGAGTTATTTAGTTGCCTGTCGAATAATTTTTGTCTATGTTTACCGAGACTGGCCTTCTAGCCAATGATTTAAACTAAGGAATGTATAACTGGCCTTCTAGCCAATGTTTTAAACCATGATGTATGCAGAGCTGCTATGGTACGGTAAACCAAACAACAATAATGAGTGCCTCAAAGATTGACTAAATTGGCCTTATTGCCAAGTTACAGCAATCTAAAGATGTAAAACGATCATGCATGAAAAAGGCAAAAAAGGAAGCAAAAGACCGAAATAAAATAAAATAAAATAAATCTGAGTGGTCTATGGGAATCGGTTAATTCTTAAGTGTACATGAGCTTCTAATTCCCAAGAAAAAATAATGAGCAAGAGATGAATAATGGGCCAACTATAAGATGCCAATTTATTTTAATAGATTGGGTGGACCCATTAAGGGTCGTTATTAGAACCGGGTCTTTATGGGTGGTCCGCTGAAAGTTAATAATAACATAGACAATTAGGAGGACCAAAGTGGAAATTTTCGCTAATTGTTAAAGTCAACCTGTAGAACAAACAAACCAAACTAGAAGTTTCAGTCATTCGTAAGATAGCCGTCAGCCTCTCTCTCTCTCTCCAGCACACCCACATTCTGATTACTCTCTCTGGACTGAACTTCCTTTGAATGAAGCCCATTAAATGCTACCCTGGTAGTTGAAGCGAGGTCATTCAATCAATTTATGCTGGAAACGTGGACTTTCATGATTGTCAAATGCCCTCTCCTATAATCAATTTCTTAAAGCAATCGAATTCATATTAGTTGATATGCAGATTGACTCTGCTATTCTTCCAAAGCAACTGGGACATTCAAAAGCACAATTTGTAGAGATTGTACAAGAAAGCAAAATAAATCCATTCCCACTTGAAAAAATTCCAAACATCACTCTACTCGCACAAGTTCAAAGATTGACTCCTTGAACCACCTAAAATATTGACTCTTCTTAATCCAATCACTGTGGCTCTTGCAGTAAAAAAACCTACAGCGCAGGTTCAATGACAGCCTGCAAGGGCTTGTACAAAAAGAGATTTTCTGATTTGGTTGGAAGACCATACTAAAAGAAAGTAGCAGCTTTGGGCTTCGCCAAATAAGGCAAAAGATGGATATTATTAGTAAGGATCCCTAATAAGTCAGGAATCTGAGTAGCGGGACATGAAGGAAAGACTTCCACCCGGGCGTCCTCGCGATTGGATTAAGTGTATAATTGCATATATGCAAAGAAAGTGCTCAACAAATTACAGAAACCATAAGTGTAACCATAAGTATAGGAAAATTCATAGACCAAATGACCTACAAAATACAGTATATTACACAAAACATTTTAATAGATTGAGCAGAAAAATACACAAATAAACAGGTGTATAAGCATTACACAAAACATTTTAATCTGATAAACAATGTCTTTTAAAGAAAAAAAAAGGGGAACCCTACACAATTACAGGTCGAACATTATTCTCAATTCATACCCAACTCCTAACCCTAGAGTCCAATCAACTAAACATGTTCAAATATAAATAAAAACCCATGAAGGCACAGACAAAGAAAAGTAGCTCACTAGTGAGTCGATGACGAGGGTTTTCGGAAGCCTGCTTTTCCTTGGTGAGACGATGACGAGGGTTTTGGGTAGCCTCCTTTTCTTTTTTATACTGAGAAGGAAAAGGAGGTTCCCCAAAAGCCTCGTCATCGTTTCATGTATGCCATTGTTCCATACATGAAACGATGGCATTATCAGTGCTTGATTGTGCTGAATCCATGGCGATATCTTGATTCGCAGAGTATTTCTCTCTCTAAAGCAAGTGGGGTTCTTGATGAAGAAATTCGCAGAGCATTTCTCTCTCTAAAGTAAGTGGGGTTCTTAATCAAGAAATTCGCAGAGCTCTCTCTCTAAAGTGGAGTATGGGAGCATGTTTGGTTAACGAAATAGGAACTTTAAGGGAACAAGTATTCTGAAGTGATGGTTACGATAATACTGAGATATACGGGATAAATTCAAGATTTGTATTTTTGAGAATATTAAAGAAAAATAGGAGAAAGTCGTTACTAAAAAAACCAAAGGGGAAAAAGGGTAGTCTTTTCTATTAATAAACTTCCTAATCCCATTACAATGTGACCTAGGGCTGCTCCAGAATTTCTCAATGGGGTGGGCTAAATCAAGATATATCTAAGTCTAAGATATAAGACATATGTAGTCTAAGATATACGATATATGTAGTATCATATTAGATTAGTAAAGTTATATATATAAAATTAATTATTGTCTCTGTCTTTAACTTTGAGTGCATCATAGCTGTGCCTTTCATTGTTGTACACTTCCAAGATCTAATGCATGAAACAAGCCAAAAGCTCACAACCCTATCGTTGGTTCACAGTTGTCGTACACTTTTGTGCCCTCAATATATATATCTCTCTCTACAAGTCCATATCTATAGAAGTCTCCCATGCCAATATTAGTCAAGACGCTCAAAGAGCTTATCTTGTCCTAAGTTGGGTAATTCTTATTGGTGGACTCTCTCTTCTTTGCTGTTTCAATTTCAACATTTCAAAACCTCTGTCGATGCTCAAACTGATAAAGTTTGATTAAAATTGCATAAAGTCTTCTCTTTATTTTTCACAGATAAAATTAGGGTATAGAGAGATGAAAAAGAAGAGAGCTCAAGTAAATGAATCATATTACACACCATTGTTTCAGAATTTCATGAACTGAAAAATCGTGTATGAAGTGACCAAAGATTCTTGTAACTAAAAGAATTAAACACTATGCTCAATAGTATGTCTTCAACTCTAAATTTCCTTTAATTCTAAGTGCTTTAACTTAATTTGAGTGCATCAACATATTATCAATATCATCAGTCGTCATCACCAGAGTCAATGTTTACATCAACATCCTCATAACATTGACATGAACATCCTCATCTAGAATCGTCATCTAGAATCACGTAATCCTTTTGCATAGATATACATTTGATTAAGATAAACTGAAAAAGATACTTCCTATCATAATTGGTCATTTCAAAACCAACATCACCGCTACAACGGTAAGGGGATTAATATAATTCAATTAGTTAGGCAAAAAAAACATACCTATTTTCTTTTTTGCCAACTCCACCCATTCCCATCAACTTTGTTCTTTCAGAAAAGAGACCTATATTATTAGGACAAATGAGGAAAAAATTTAAAAGCATTAATAAACTTGTAAAACATATATTTTGAAATTGAAAACTAAACTTCCAAGTCTTTAATTCCCATTAATAAATTGTTGGAGCATCACAGCATAACAATATTATATATATGTATGTAGAAACAAAAACAAGGAAAAAACAAAAAAACAAAAAATCAGTATGTAAAACATGAATAAATAAACGTAACAAATAGTTAAAAATGCCAATTAAAATTTTAGAAAAAGTATGAGTTTGTTACCTGATGACAGAGGAGGCATGTTTCGTGAACCTTGTTCTTGCTAAATGTTAAGGCCCGATACTAACCCTAAAAAGAAGAAAACACTCAAATTGTGAGGAAGAGGTTTCACAATCTCACTCATAACAATTAAAACACCACTATCTAAGTACTATCCGTATCATGTATCAACCCAACCCAACTATGCTTTCAGTTAAAATGTTGGACCCCTATTTGTAGAAAGAGGTGTGATTACAGATAGGTGTGATTAACACATATTATACTTAGCTCTTATGTTAAATTAATCCAATAACAAAGTACAATGTATCAGTTTAGGAATAATCTTCAAAATTAACAAATCAATATCATGATATTCTGCATTCTAATAACAAAAGAGAATCAAAAACCAAAATTTGAAAATAAAAATATGGCAGAAAGATTAAATATATCCTTCGTGCATTACCCAGATTGTATTTATATGTGTAACAAAACATCCAGGATTTCTCAATGGGGTGGGCTAAATCAAAATATATCAACCAAAATCAACTGTTGTTTAATTCAATTTTAGTTAACTAACAAGACAATTGACAGATTAAGGCATAGAAAATCCTTATTGGGTAATTAATAAAAAAAAATTACCAATTTATTTCTGAACAATTCACCACTCAGTACCCTATCTCTTCTTTTGGCCAATTTACTAATCCTATTTGAGAATCTACTAGTGGAAACAGAGTGTGAGGTAGTTCATGGCAAGCCCCTTCCAACACTATGTAATTCACTCAAAAGCATGCTTTTTGTAAGTATTTTAATTTTCAAGAAGTAACTTTAGAGCTTTACCCTATATTAAGTACTTTTGCTTGTCAAAGTTCTTGTTATGATTTTTTATTTTAGTTCTGAAAAGATTTCCATTTTAAAAAAGCTTGGCATGTTGATAAAAATTGTTTCAGATTCAATCTCTGCAGATTTATAATCCAATTCAGATTTTTTTTTATTTTCTTTTTTCATGCCCAGATTCAAATTTTCTTGACAACAACCACCAAAAAAAAAAAAAAAAAAAAAAACAGAAATAGAAGTTATAGAAATAAAAATATATATATTTGTTTTGCTGAAATAAAATGTAGATTACGGTGATTACCTCAAAATGCAATACAAATTTTGTTACTTTATATTGTTAAAAAAAAAAAAAAAATACAAAAAATCATAAAAAAATTCACCAAATAGGATTTAGTTTGCAAAACAAGAATTAAAAACCTTGATTGGTGGATTTAAGAAAAAAATTAAAACAAAACCCATACATACAAGTTAGCAGTTGCAGAGAGAGAGAGGGGGGCAAGCTTGAGAGTTGAGAGACAGCGGGCCAGCGGCTGAAGCTTGCGAACGGCGAACCCGAACTGGAACAGCGGGCGATGGAAACTAAAAGATATGGGTTTTGATTTTTTGAACAATCTGAAATGATATGCCGATATGGGTTTTGAACTTTTGATTCTTGCAGACAGATAGACAAACTGAAATATATGGGTTTTGAACTTCTGATTCTTGCAGATTTTGTAGTTTGCAGTTGGAGAGAGAGAGAGAGAGAGAGGGCAAGTTCAGAGTCGAGAACGAAAATAAAGATGGAGGCGATTGGGGAGGCTGAAATGATTTGCCCTAAAAATATTTTGTTTTTTTTTTTTGACCCATCATCGGCCCTATAAGTTTTGAGGCCCCATAAATTCTGGCCGCCTACCTGGATTTATTTGACTTGAGCCTTTATGTTAATATGGCAGTTGAGTTGAGTTAGGTTAAATTGGGTGGGCTAATTTTATTAATAATTTTTTTTTGGGTTGGATTAAAGTTAATATAGAAAAAAAATATAAAAAATTTAGAGTTGGTTCAAGCCCACCCTTCCATCCGCCCTTGAATGTGACAATTAGGAGTACAACTCGGACAGACTTGGCACTCATCTCGGGCTGGGTGCATATAGAAAATCTTCCGCCCAAGCGTGCCTTAAACTTAACCCATACATAATTTACCTAGGCCGAACCCGCACTAAGCCCACGCCGAAGAATTTGTATATAAAAAATAAATCAATTAATATTGCACCTGAAACCTTAAGCATCAAGTCCAAAATCTTAGTTACTACACTTTTGTGACTTAAGTATAATTATAAATATATATATATATATAATATTTTTAGGCTTAAGTTGGGCTTCGGACTTCATCCATATCAACCCAAGCCTAACCCGAATTGAATTCGGACTCAAAATATATAGTTCAGGTCCAAACCGAAATTAAAAAAACATTGCTCAAACCCACAAAATTTCAAACTGGACTCAAATTATTTCATATTGTACCCCGCTCGAGTTGCAACCCTAGTGACAATGAACTCAGATTCCCGTGTGTGACTTTGGAAGTGGATATACCTCAAATGGGCTGGAGTTGACATTCTGTGAGTTGCATGATCTCCACCGTACTCTATGGATCGCACCGTCTAGTCCCCGGAAGAGAATCCTAATTTATAAAGTAAAATATTTCAGAGAGTGAGAGAGAGAACTAGCAATTGTTACATGTAAATCCTAATCCATGATAAAATTATTTCTTTTCTCAAATCTCCAATAATTCTATTATACATATGTATATTGGTAAGGAATTTTATTTTATTTTTTTCATTGATTTCTGTTTTAGTGGATAACAAAGTGGGAAAGTCATAGGAGGGACCCAAGCTTTTTATAGGCCTGGACAGTCTGGACTTGGGTACGCAAATAAACAAGATCCATAACCAGCAGGAGTTACACACACACATTCCTTAAACCTCATACAAGCTGGCTGTCCAGCCCAGTAGATTATCTCTCTGTTATTACTTTTCATTTACATTTTGGTGGGCTTTTGATCTGCTAAAATTTCATTACATTTTGATCTGACAGGTCATTGCTTATTTGCTGCTCTCAACATATCTATTAATGAGCCAATTTCCCAAATTGGGGTTTGTGTGAACCATAAAACATTCACAGTGCTTGTCAAATCCTTTTAAACTGAGAAAGCCCCATTTTGCTACTTATCTTAAGAAAGCTCAAGCCACACGCATAACATGTGTGTGTGTGTGTGTGAAACTGTACAGAGCCTATATGGAGCATCACAAGAATTGAAAATAAATCAAAACTTTTGGGACATCTCAGAATCACAACCATCCAAAAGACATGAACTCAAATTGATCCAGAGACGATCCTACTTTTGTTTGTTACTATAGCAACACGAACCAGTTTGGCATTGTCATCAGTGGGTTACTAAGTGACAACATATTAGGAGAGACAAATTTAAACAACGACTACTCAAGAAAACAAAAACAAAGTGAGAGAGATGAACATCTATCTATCAACCACAATATGGTTACATTAATGACCTCACACACACACACGTGTAGGCTACACGTGTCCGACCCGTGTTCCACCCGTGTCCAATTGCTTCTCCATCTCCACAGATCCATCAGTAGGGATGGTTTTCTTAGCTTCACCCTTGTTGTCCCTGTAAATGGCGTATAGTATCAGCTGTACCACCCCTAGCCCACTTCCAAAACCATTAGGCACCTGTAAAAATTCACACACCATCATCAACATTCATCAAATTTTGTATCCATCCACTTACATCACTCATTGTGTGTGTGTGTGTGTCACTGTGTGTGTATTAGACCAAATGGTCACTGCCCAATATTCAAATTGGACCTTTTGTGACACTGAAACTTAATATGATCACTAAGGTTGTGTGTGTGTGTGTGTGTGTGTGTGTATTAGACCATAGACTGATTAGAGGACAGGGATGGTTATTGGAAACCAAATGGTCACTGCCCATAATTGAAATTGGACCTTGTGTGACACTGAAACTTAATCCGATCACTAAGGTTGCCTCTATGACAATTGTGTGTGTGTGTGTGTGTGTTAGACCTTAGACTAATTAGAGGATAGGAATGTTAATTGAAGACCAAATGGTCACTGCCCAATATTGAAATTGGACCTTTTGTGACACTGAAACTTAATAAGACCAAATGGTCACTGCCCATAATTGAAATTGGACCTTGTGTAACACTGAAACTTAATCCGATCACTAATGTTGCCTCTATGACAATTGTGTGTGTGTGTGTGTGTGTGTGTGTGTGTGTGTATTAGACCTTGGACTAATTAGAGGATAGGAATGTTAATTGAAGACCAAATGGTCACTGCCCAATATTGAAATTGGACCTTTTGTGACACTGAAACTGAATATGATCACTTAGGTTGCCTCTATGACAATTGTGTGTGTGTGTGTTTGTGTGTGTTAGACCATAGACTGATCAATAGGTCACTGCCCATATTGAAATTGAACATTTTTTGACAGTGAAACTTAATATGATCACTAAGGTTGCTTCTATGACTATGTTGTAAGTAAATTAAAATGCAGAGTTACACTTTGTGACTAGGTGAAACTGAACTTAATTGAAGTACCAAATGCTACTACTTACAGCAACAAAAGGGTCCTTTCCGAGCAGACCAAAGATGAACCAGGAAGTGCCGCATAAGAACACGAACAGTGACAAGAAGAACGGCATGAACTCCACACTCTTGGTTTTAATCACCATCCTCTGCACATTTAAATGATCATATGTATAAGATTAATCTATATCTATAATCATCTTATATATCAGAGATAAATAACAGCTCACAAGTTGCAAAGTGTTTCTGTTTTTACTGTTTCTAAAAAGGTTTTAAAAAGCAAAGAACCAAACAGTTCTTTACTGCTAGCAATGTTGATACCAAATTGATAAGGGACACAAGAAAAAAAAGTAATAAAGTAGTGAAATCAGCCCAAAATTATCATAGCTGCCAATTTTTTGGAACATCATCACATATCTGATATGACTATACCACCTTTTTTAATACCAAAAACCTCTTTGCAACATCAAATCAATTGGTCAAATGCTTTTAGGCGGAATGTATCAAACCAAATTCAACACCTCAATTCACAAGAAGTTAGAAAATAATGTGTCTGAGGGCCTACTTACCATGATGGATAGAGGGGAAGCATACATTATAATGGAGAAGATGGTGGCAGCAAGACCACAGAATAGCTTTCTGTTCTTGCCTTGGAGGGCAAACAGGGACACGAAGGCGACTGCCGAGAACACGGCTAGCACGAAGGTGAGGAGCCCGAGGATCTTACCCTTCTCCTTCCTCGGCGCAAATATCAGAAAAATCAACACATAGATGGACTCAATGGCTGCCCCAGTGCCATTGATGGTTGAAACTAGGATGTTGTTTGGTGACACAAAAGGCAGTCCATACCTGTTTCAATTATCAAGGGCAAATCAGTAATTTCACAAGTGTGACAGGGGCAAGAATGGAATGATGGTAAATCACAGTAAAACATTGATTTTCTGCAACTCAAATTTAAAAGGAAAAAACAAAAAGTTTCATACAAAAAATTGATAGAAATTTTAAACAATTTAAGTCCAACACTGGCCATTTACCACACACACAGTAGTTCTCGTCCATAAATTTGAAAAAACTTTACAAAAATTATAAAAAAAATAAAAAACAAGACAACCTGCTACAAAATTGAAAAAAAAAAAAAAAAAAAAAAAAAAAAAAAAAAAAAATTGATCTTGCAAATAAAAGGGCAAGATACTTAAAATATTCTGATAATTTGGCCACTAAAAGGTCTAAAATATTATAGTGGTCATAGTATTAAATGAATTTATAGTACCAAATATAGTGGTAATTTTATTTTTCTTCTTTTTGCGAAGGGCAATCATGCCATTTAGCACACTGCTGGGCCTCCAACGGGCGAAACCACGTAAGCATCAACAATTAATATGACAGTAATACCCTTGTAACAATAAGATGAAGATTTCGAAGCATTGCAGTGAAGCTTACCAAGCAGAAAGCAAGCAGTTGAGCAAGGTCATGACGTATGGAACTCCTGAGAATTGCTCTGTGGATTTTTTCAAGATGATCCTCTTGAATGTGATTCTAAAATCAGATGAAAATTTATTAAAACAGAGCTAATAATCATGATTCAATGTTTTGATCACAGTTTTAATGAAAATAGAATTCGGAATTAATTAAAAGATGACATTTTTTTGGCCACTGCACTACTATTTAACATCCACTTCTTCAAAAACCTTTTTGAAGAAGAAGATAAATATGTATCTTTGTGTGTGTGTGTGTGTGTGTGTGTGTGTGTGAGAGAGAGAGAGAGAGAGAGAGAAGCCTGAGAAGGAATTCTTTCTGCTTCAGAATCAAGACGTATGAAATTTCTTAATGAACACAACCCAATTCGAGCACTACTTCAGAAATTAAGAATCACTTATACGTGCAGGTTTTGATTTTGCATATATGTGTATGATACACGCATATACATATATACATATGTATAGAGAGAGAGAGAGAGAGAGAGAGAGATTACATAATCTCTGCGTCAGAATCAAGACTCGTGAAATTCTTTAATGAACACAACCCAATTCGAGCTCTACTTCAGAAATTAAGAATCTCTGATACATGCGTGTTTTGAGCTTGTATATATATATATATATATATATATGTGTGTGTGTGTGTGTGTGTGTATGTATAGAGAGAGAGAGAGAGAGTTCTTACGTTGGTGCCAAGAAGAGGAACAGAGCAGTAGCATTTCCTGTAAAAGATAAACGAAAACAGAAGAATGATGAATTGAAATACAAAATCAGAAAGCACTATGAATCGAAATTCAATAAAAACAGAGACAAAACTTCAAGAACCATTGAAGTAGAGAGAGAAAACAGAGGAAAACATAGACAAGACTGTTTTATAATGAAAACCCACCGAAAATTCCAAAGACGAAATGCAGAGTACCACCCATTTCGATCTTCAGTCTTCTTCTTCAATGAACAAAACGAAGCTGATCGAGCAAACCCAGATCAAGAAACACTCCAAGAAAGGCCACAGAACTCGAAGCAGAGACTTTATATAATAAAATGGTGTTTAGATGGGAAGTGATCAACCAACAAGTCAGTGGTTTATATAGAACCAAGAAAATTAACTAACTGCTTTCTGTAGTAAATATTTCTAAACCAATTTCGTTCTTATCCTTATTTTTGCTTGGGTAATGAGAACTGTCTGCTTCCTAGACTCCTGTCACTCTCTCTCTCTCTCTCTCTCTCTCTGTTATCTTCTCTGTATTACGAATTAAATTCAAAGAGTTACAGGTATGCATTAATGGTGAATGTGTGTAATATATAGACACGCATTGGATAGTGTATACCGTGTGCTTGTGACATTTGAAGGAGTTGTTTGCCGGTAAAAATAAGTCGTTCACTCCAATGCCATTTCCCCACTTAAGTGATCTTAATTGTGAACTTAATTTTTTTTATAAAAAAATATATATATATTGAATATGTCACATTAATAATCGGCTTGAAAGATAAGTTTAATTTCTAAAAAATATTTAAAGTTGTAGAATATATGCATTGTAACGTTTTTAGTATAACCTAAAAGAAATGATACATTATTTTCTTAGAATTTATTTGGACAAAAAAAATCACACCAAAAATCATTTTCAACTGTTTATTAGAGTAGGTAGCCATCCTATTTCTCACCCTCGTCTAATAGCACGGATATGGACTATAATTTCCTTTGTTTGGATTAGGAGGAAAGTCTATCCTTTGTTTGGCTCACAAAGGAAAAGGGAATATATAAAAAGTATTTCTTACATAAAAGTGAAAGTTCACAATTCCCAATTTTTTTGTTCTTGGGAGTCAAATTGTTATACTGACCATTGTGGCCTGACGTGGCAGTTTATAACAGTATCTAGTTACAGGTGACATGTGCTGGACCCCACCATTTGATCCAAACACAGCCTTCTCTTGCCCAAGACTCGGATGTTCTCAAGTCACTCACCTCCGTTGATTCTGTATACCATCGGCGTCATAATATAAGACAGCATTTTTTTTTTTTGTTTTTGTCATTATCAGAAGACACTTGGTTTGATGTAATTTGAGACCTAAAGCAAAATTTTAAATTAAATTTTCTTTTTCACCGTTTCGTTTTCTCCACCACAACATGGGCAAACCGGATTAAAGGAACTAACTCTCCTGTTAAGTACCTTGTTGGTTGGCAACATTACCACAAAAAAATGTTTCACTTTTGAAGGAATATTACATTGCCAAAGTGAATGCCAGCAATGAGCATCAATATTATACTGCAAAACACCATTATCATGACTCGAGAGCTATGAGAGCATCTTAAAAGCAATATGATATGCTGTTTTAACATAAAAATCTCCGAATGTTGTTGGTGACCAATATTGGACAACATCACGCCCACACAAGCTAATAGGAATTTGCAAAATGGCCTCCACAACATCTGACGAGAAATATTGAGCAAGGATAGAGACTTTCCATGAATGACTCAGTCTCATCAATGAGATTCGCAACCAAATTTAATGATGTAAAATGCTCATGTTCCGTTGTCCTTTCGCTCTTCAGGTATGAAAGTTGTCCCATTTTCAATTTGATTTTGTATCCTTGTTCGTTTCATCGTTTGCGACATGGTGGAGTTCTTTGGGGCATGGCACTATAAGTGGACCTGTTAGATTAGAGTTGAGAAGCTTGTTTGCTGTCTATGCATGGGCATCTGGAAGGCAAGAAATCGAGTGGTTTTTTATGGAAAATGCTCAAGCCCGCAATATGTGGTTCAGAAGGCAGTGACTGATTATTGGGAGTATATGGATGCTAATGTTAATAATCCAGAGATTACTGATGTAGCTCCGATGGGTGGGGTGGTTTTGGAAAATGATGTTTTGATTCCTCCTCCAACAAATATGGTAAAATGTAATGTTAACACCTCTTTTTTGGATTCCAAAGGCTTTACCAGAGGCGGAGTCATTATTAGAGACAACGATGGGTCCATTTTAAAGTTGGTGATTCTTACGCAGTACTTTCCCCGCGGCAACACCGCTTATGGTAGAGGCTTGGGTGTTGCGGGCTGCAATGGAGTTGGCTCAACGATTCAACTTTCACCGATTATGGTTTGAAAGTGACTCCCGTGTTGTATGTAATGCAATTAATGATAGGCAAACTTGTCCCTCTAATATTTCATCCATTGTTTTTGATATTAAATCTGTCTTCCAATGCTTTCCGGATGTGAAATTATCATTTGTTAGAAGGGAAGGGAATCATTTGGCTCATGAAGCAACTAAGCTTTCAACGTCTGTTCTACCTGTGAATCAAGTTATTCAAGAGCTTCCGGTGCATTTGTTGCAATTGGCAACTTTGGACTGCCCTATGTTTTCTCTGTAGTTTGTTGTGTTGCTTTGTTTTCTTACCTTGTAAAAAAAATAAATAAATAAATAAATTTTATTATATATATATATATATATGTATTTTTTTTTTCTTATATTAGTTATGTTTAAATTGAAATAAGTTAAAAATATATAAAAAAAATACTATTTATGTTAATTTTTTGGGATAGCAATTTATTTCTAAGGGCCTTATGGTCCTCTATCGGTTAAAATAGACAGTGAGTTCGAATCTCCAAAGAGACAATATTGGTGTGTGAGTGGTAGCGTTGATTTATATTAAGAAAAAAAAAATATCTCTTTTGTATTTTAGATGGGTTGCGAGCCACCCTCTAATAACACTTATGCACGGGGACGGAGTCACTTTATAGTGAGTGTGGGCAATTGCCCCCACTGAATTTTATTTTTATTACTATATACTACTAATTTTTTTTTTTTTTATTTGCATACCTATAAAATTCTCACTTTGCCCCTCCTAAAATTATTTAAAAAATATACTAAATTCACTTTTGTCCTTCTCCTACAACTTTCTGAATCCGTCCCTGCTCATGCAACATATTTATTTTCTTTTTTTTCGATAACCAAGGTGTCCGGAACTTCGACTCAACTAATCCACGAAACCTTGCAAAGTCCAAACCTTATGATTGAGCCGTTTCTGATAACACTCATTCAACATATTTTAAACAAAAGATTTAATACTCATATAATATAACATATTATGGTGAAACTTTGCAATATTATTAAATCGAGAATTCAATATTTTATTATATAACTGTTGCATTATACATTCAAAATTATTGTGCTGTTGATTTTAACTCTGGGTACACAAATTTATATAGACAATTGGACATACACATGCTCATGCATGATATAGAATGCAAAGTAAAATACAAAAGGGAAAATTATATAAAAGAGGATTTTAGGAGTTCTTATTATTTAAAGATAGAGTCAAAATCTACATTTTTTTAAGTTATGAACTTTGACTAAAGTATAATGTAGAATCACTGTTCATTTGGTCAAATTATCTTTAATATGTTCAAGTACCATTTTCTTTTTTTTTCTTTTTTTTTTTTTCATATAAGTACTATCCTTCTACACAGAAGTACCACTTTTGTGCACACATACTATTTTTGTGCAAACGAAGTAATCAAAATGGCCTGCACAAAAAGTAGTCTTTGCATGCACAAATATGGTACCGATGTGCAAGAGTGGTACTTACCTACATAGAAGTGGTACCTCTAATCACAAGAGTGGTACCTTGGATGAGTAGAGTAGTCACTTATATGCACAAAAGTGGTATCCAAAATATTAAGGGCTAGTTTGGTGTGCAAGAATGAAATAGAATGGAAATGGAATAAAGCTGGGAATGGAATGAAACTAAGAATTGAATGGGAATGACCATTCCATTCTAAAGTTTGGTTGCAAACGTGAAATGTTGTAAATATGGAATGATGATTCTCATTCATACGTTTAATTGAACCAATTTAAAAGCTAAAATGGAATTAATTTACATTGATATCTCCAAATTACCCTTTATCAAGAATAAATAAATTTAACTTTAAAAAAAATAATAATAAATTTAACAAAAAAATATTAAAGTGAGAATGAATTTGGGGCAAAGAGACGTTGAAGATTAGGGCAAGGAGAAATTAACGTGAGAAATACGCAACGTGTTGAAGATTAGGGCAAGGAGGCGTCTCCGGCGGCAGTGGTGAGATAAGGGGTAGTGAGAGAGGATGACGAATCTGTCTCCGGCGGCAGAGATAGGTAGCGGAGGGAGACGAGGAAGGTGAAACCAGCTGAATAATTGGTTTTCGTTTTCTGAGAGATTGCATCTTCACAGAAAGAAAATCCAATAGAAAAGACGACGAGTACCTCTTATCTACAGTCCAGATATCAGGTATTCAAAATTGATTCTGTATAAGTCACCATTATATATTGTTCTCCTTAGAAGGGATATATAATCATCCCTAGAAGACCGATGAGCACTTGGAGACGAGAGAGGTGGCTGGGTTAGGTTGGGTTGGGTTAAGTTGTGGTCTCCGCCGGCGATGGTGAGATAAGGGGTAGTGAGAGAGGAAAACGGATATGTCTCCGGTGGCAGAGGGAGAGGACGGATAGGTTGGAAGACGTCGATGGTGGTTTAGAAAAGGGATGATGAATAGGTTTTTTTGTCATAATTTTTTTAATCCTATTCCATATGTGGGGAATGGAATCTCATTCCATTAATAAAGAGAATGAATGATTTGGTGGAATGACTATTCTCCAAGAATTGTAAAGAATGATAATTTCACCTCTAATAACTCACAGAAAAGCATTCCATTCCTTTCGATTTGATTCTATTCACCCACACCAAACATGACCTAAGGGTAATTTGAATAAACGAATAATATTTTTTCATTCCCACAACACACTTTGTTCAAAGTCCATGACTTTAAAAGGTGTTGACTTTCACTTCATTTCCAAGTAATAAAATCTTTTAAAATTCACTTCTTTTTTTTTTTTTACTTTCCCAATACATAATGCACCAAGCAGTTATGACCCCAAAAAACAAAAAAAATTCTCATAAAGAAAGCAGAAAACAAAGAAACAAAGCACAGATCTTCTATGGCTTTGATTTTTTTTTTTTTCGCCGTAATTTATATGTAAATTGATTATTTAAGCACACCTACACTCTTCTACCCGCATGTGTGTGTGTGTGTAGTGTGTGAAGGTCCCAGACCTAGAACTCTTGAAGCATTTTCTACTTACCCAAAAATAAATAAAAAAATAAAAAATATCTCTCAGAATCGATCATTTTCCATTGAAGCTCAAATAGGGACTGAGAATGTC